CACTATCAGCAGAGAAAAGACCGCTAGAAGCGTCCATGTCGAGAGCTTTTCCCCCATGTTGAAAGTCCGAAATGGCACCGGGATTACAGCGATATTAAATATTGGCAGTGGATGATGAATATATGATGACTATTTGCCCTTGGGGCCTAGAGGTAATTTTGAGGGTCGTAGCTCCTCACTTGTATCAGAAAAGCCTGCGCGACAGTCCGCAGTGCGAATGAGCGAGCAAGAGATTCACAGCCGCGTGTTAGATCACGTTACAGCACCGGCTTTAGGGCGGTTCCTTAAACTCAGCTCTGCTTTTTACGTAGAACACGCTGAAATGCACTGTTTTTATAATTAGGGGAACCTACCGATTATACTTGGTTTGGCTACAAATAAATAATAGCTATGTGAACATACTAGTGAACTTTGACCAGCTGAGTGTACTGTAGAATACGCGCGATAAGAACGTGTTTACAGGTAACGCTAGTGAAGGACTGCTTGAGGAGATGAGATGAGATGAGATGAGATGACCTTCTCTCGTGCATTTGCCTATTCAATTAGAATGACTGAATTAGGATAATTGTGCGTCTCTGAATAATTAAGTGACTTGCACAATTGACTTCAGTTAATAATTCATGTTTGGTTGGTTAACACGTGGATCTCTGGTTTATAGCCTATATCAGTTAGTTATGTGCATGCAGTAATTATTTGCTAATTAAAAGGTTTAATGCATTAAGAAATTAATTGCACTAGGAGAAAACAAAACACCATTAAAGCAACACAACAACTGCTGTGAAGTGCCAGCAGTTAGTAAATAAACAGTATAAAGTCCAAAACCACTAGTACTTGGACCTACAAAGCATGAGGACCTTTAAAACAGGCTGAAGTATTTTAAATAGAGAGTCATTTCTATGCTTTGGCCTGTATCTCTTTTGCTATTATCTGACACTTAGTTTACATATTTATATGCTGGATTTTTATTGCAACTAAAACAAAATTATATTGTTATGCAGTGGCGTGCACGAGGCTGCCCCTTGAACCCCTAAAACACGACCCTGCCCCTGCTAAGGTCTGTGCACGCCACTGTTGTCATATTAGCAGCATGCATAACTCTCAGTCACTAACTGGCAAATATAGTAATTTGCGGGTTTGACTCTTCTGGTTGGTAAACGAAGTGCTTTTTTATGATCCAGTTTTATAAAGGAAGGCATTAACGACCAGTGTATTTGCATGTACTCTTGAGTTTTGATCTTCTCTTTGACTTCTGAAACCTAAGATTATAGCAAGTATACTTTAAAACTGAGAGTAGAAATTGGTACTTGCATTATACCTGTGCTTTACTGTAAGACGATGAAACATAGAGTAAATGTAAACTGAAAGCGCCACAGTGACTCATCCATTCCGGTTATTGTGGTATGCTCACAGAAGATATATCCCATTTAAAACGAGTGCATAATCAAGATAATATGAGATCATATACAGTAGGCCCCCTTTTTCCATGCTTTCTTGTTTTGTTCTAGTTGCACTTTAGCACTTCCAGATCCATTGTCTTGTTTTTTTGAACAGGCGTTTGGGTAAATGTCTGAAATAAGGTCTGTTGTTAACACAACCTCAATATATTTTCATGTTTTATTCTGTAATGTACAATACAGTATATCAGTAATAGCCCCTTGTGTTTTTTTTTTAAGCTTTTACTTCTGTTGAAACTGGCAATTGCTAACAAGTGGTCAATGAGACTACAGGGGTTGTCGGGGACATTAAACGGCATCACCTTGAACGTCATCATAATTCAAACCTTAAGGGCATATGTTTTCTTAAATAAAGAACTATCGAAAGCTTAGTAATCGTGACGCTGAAGTCATGCAACTTCTACTTTGATGTGGCACATTCAGCATAGCATCCCTATAGTGGCACACCAATTCTTACAAAACAGGAAGCATATGTGCTGTAATTCATCTGCAAGTTTTGCATTGCATGTAATACCCGGTATACATTGTACGATTTTTTGGGCTGTCCCAAACAAAAGATGACCATCGTGAAACAATCGTTATGATTTCTTTCGTCATGGCTCCTAAACAGTGGTCCTATGTCGTACTGTGAGAGAGGTTCAAAGACAGCCGTTGCCATGGTCTTGCGACCAAAGATAGCATGCAATAATTTTCTAGCAGTGTCAGAAATCTAAGTGTGTTTGCGGTTATGACCTATGTCTACTGACTAGCCAATAAAAATGCAACATGAAAGAACGTATTGATCAGCTTCACATGGCGCTAAAACATAAATGCTACGGCTGAAAGACCTATAAGGAATACCGCTATATGGGATTTCATTTCAATAACACCAACAATAACAGGAGGACAATAACAGGAATTTATTGACCTCCTATGCCATCTCCTCTTCTTTTTTTCAGTATGCATGATGACATTTTATTCTCCTCCTGGGACCCAGGCATAGAATTTTGTCCTCTGTAGAGGACATTATATTTTAGTGACTTTCTCTGAGACCATACATGCCACAGTTTGTCCTGTACAGAGCGCATTCAGGGCTTTTTAGAGATATCAAATGTTTGGAGGTGTGATCATAAACACTCCCTCTCCTTGGTCTTTAAATATGACTGATATTGACAGAATGCTCAAATTTAGCACTCTTAGGGAAATATGATGTTTTGTAATTTGGATAATTTTCAAATTGTCATAAATAAACATCTCAGAAAAATGTAATGGGGTTTCAAATCGGAATATGGCTTTTTGTTAAGAAACAGGGCATAATTTTCATACATGTCTTCTGTAGAGGACACCAGGACAAACATAATGTTAATCAGGCATTTGGGGGAAACACAAGAAGTCAATAGGGAAAGAAATTATAGATTCTTATGAATCTATATATTCCTATGAAATGAGATAGTCTTATGAAAATGTTGCCAAGTTATTACTCCCATTATTATACTTCTTTTTTCATTATGGTTTGCCCCAAGAACACATTAATATGCAAATTAGATGCAATGTATAGATACATTGTATGGAATGGGAATACCAGTGTATGGCATTTTACACACATATACCATAAAGTACAGTAATAATAATAATAATTCATTACAGTTATATCGCGCTTTTCTAGGCACTCAAAGTGCTTTACATTGTCAGGGGGTATCTCCTCATCCACTAATTCATTACATCCAGTAGTATATCAAATCATTACGTTATAACTTTCATAACATAGTTGAGAATCGTCTTTGTACAAAGTTTGGCTAAAAATAGCCTGAAACCTAAAAACTGATTGGTGAATAATACTATATTGAAAGGCCTATACATACCTTTTCATGTCTTTTTTTTTATATAACTTAGTCCTGGCGTCTTCTACAAAGGACATTGGTTAAAATATGAATAAAATATATTTTTTCAAAAATGTTTTTTTTCTCTATTTGTTTCTTATGCTCCAACCTATGTAATGACACAAAAAAACAACAAAATTCACAAAATTTGTGATTTCTGGTTCTCAGGAGAATATTAACTTGTTCACGATTTACGATTTAATATGTGTCATCATCATACAGTCTACTGCCTACATGTCGTACCCAGATAAGATGGCATAAGATGACACACAACATATTTGGCTAGACTGTCATTGGACAGTGTAAAACACTAAGAAAATTAAATAGCAAGGCATATGAAACAAGTCAAAATATCTTTTTTTTTTTGTCCTGATTTGAATGGAACACCACATTTTGTTGGTCTTGCTCCTCTCAGGTACAACACTGAAGACATCATGTAATAAGAGAGTAATAAGTATAATAAGTATTGCTTTTAGCTTTATTTTTTTGTTTTTCATTTAAATGTTAAGTTTTGAAATGTATGCATTTGTCATTTTTATTTAATCTCTTTATTTTTAAAATGTGTATAGGTAGTATTTATAAAGTTTTAGCTTTTAGTTTTGGATCTGTTTTTAGTTGTTTTAATACTACAATTGATTGCTTCTGTTGTCCTCATTTGTAAGTCGCTTTGGATAAAAGCGTCTAATAAATTACTAAATAAATAAATGTAATAATGTAGTATATTAATGTAGTATAATATAAAACAAACTGGGACTATTGCTGTCTGCTACATCCTATAAAATATCCAAGCAAAAAAAGTACACATGGACCCTGCATGGTATATCATAACAGGACAAGCTTCTACCTTGTACATCTGCAAATGCTTTGCCCTTTCAGTCTGTTTTAAGTGGTGGTAAATATGGAAATGTCTCACAGCGTACAGCTTAAATGCATGCAAAATATTAAACCATCTTTATCTATACCATCTGTCAGGAGCATTCAGCTGATATGCCTGCAGTGTCCTGACATCTGTAAAACTGATATAAAACAGTGCTAGAATGTGTGAAATAAACAAAGACTCAAGAATATGTTAGCCCCTCACTTTTAGAACACATGATTATCAGCCTTGATACTTTGTACTAGTTGCAGTGCATTTATTGCAACTTTTTTTCTCTCATATTTATAATGTAATTATGATTAATTATGTAATTATGAAGTACTTTTTTTTTTTACATATCTCACAATTGTGACAAAGTCATTTACCCAGTCTTTTGTCCTTGCAGGACTATAATCCATCCTTTGTATGTGGAAATCATTACTACGGTAGCCTAGATGTTAAAGCACTCATAAAGTACAATAAAAAAAAGATAGAAAGAAAAGAAAATACAACACCAAAAGAACGTGCGAGATTGGCAATCTGATGTTTATTCCTTTGCAGGTTTACTAAGCATCCTCTAAATCCATGTTGATATTGGCACTAACCTCAACATGGAAAATTTAGAAGAATCGAAGCCCAGAGTTTTTCGGTGTAAATTCCCTAAGCATCCTCAAAAGTAAAGAGGCTGGGCAAACGAAAACCCACGACAGGACCAATCTGGAAGAAGAATCGCTAGATGTGCATGTTGCGCTGCCCAATGGAGAGGAATGGAGGTTGTTTTGAATCGGCGAGACTGCCTTAGCCAATCAGGCCGGTCTCGTGTTGAGCTAGCGCGAGGCTGAGCGCATGGGGTTTAAAGCGGAGAGAGAAGGGAGACAGTGGCGAGATTTCAATCAACTCAACAACACAGGTACGGAAAACGGTCTAATATTTAGCACAACACATTTCATTCATTTTTAGCTAAAATATTTCATTTTATACACATTTATATATATTTATTTTTAAGTAAATGTGAAACTAACATTTATTCCCCTAAAACAGAATAAATATATATTTTGTCATAAATTCGTTAATATGTGAAGGTCAAGAAGGAGTTTTGTATATTTGTAGTTTGTTTGCCAATCTTTGCGTTCTGTCTTTCTGAGAAATTACCTATTTCTAATAAATCACAGAAAAGTGAATAAAACTACATTGTATTCTTTTACAGAGTAATTTTCAGATTTGCTGTTATCCGCACTAATAATTTTTCCTTTCCTTTAACTGATCGATTAAAAGTTATTAAACTGATTTTTCCCCCGGACTGTATTGTCGCGCATCGCTGCTGAATATGGCTCGCTGTGTCCTGTCTATGAACCACCCTGCCTTCTTCTATACAGACCGATTTCGATGACATCTTCACGTAATGGAATATTTTGTCCCCGATACCATTCGCTTATGCAATTATTCTTTACTCTCTATATTATTATGTGAAATGTGAATCTGTATACGCGCTGAAAACATGTTATCGCATTTTTCCTTTTCCAAATTAAACAAGCGCGCTTGCCGTGTATTAAAATGGCTGGCGATTGAGACCGTTGATGAGCAGCTATTCTTTCACGCTGCAAGGACGGGATAATTTTAGACGGAAAACATCCATTTTAGATGCAAAACTGCCCATTCCTTTCGTTTTCGCCCTGGAATGTCTATCTCTAACTCTGTGGATTAAAATAAAGACAGTGCAGAGCGATTTAACATTGTTTCCAGCTTGACAGTTGCGCTGGATATACTCGCATAGGCAATGGCTGGCTGTAGTCTTTGTTAAGGCAGCACTGCGCCAAGAGACAGCTAGAGCTCAACTTAGAAAAACAGTTAAACACGCCAAATTATGATCTGGCAGCCTTTTACAGTAATTTTAAACTAAAAGTACAACATTTGTTTTAGTTGATAAATATGTTTTTCTTTTAATTAAAGCCCTTGGATCACTAGAATCGTCATTTAAACCCGAGGGGGTGTGTGTTGCTTTGTTGCACGGTCAACCCATCTGTTTGCTCGCTCTGCAAAGAAGCCATTTTAACAGCAGCGCAAGGCAGAGCTTATACCAGTTACTATATATAACAGTCTCTATATGCTTGTAAACGGGCAGGACGCTGTAAAGCACACGTTTAAACCAAGAACAGTAATTGAGCTCAAAATAAAATATTAATAAGGTGAAAAAGATTTACAAAAATAAAGATCAGTTTCTGTCATGAGAATGCATTAATGTGAAGGATGTTGAATAATTCTAGATGATGACCTTTCTTTTTTTAGTAGACGCTTTTATGGGCTACCACCACCATCTTTACATGAGCACCCAAGTATAACCTATAAGACTGTGTATGAAGGTAATTCATGTCTGTGCAATAGAGTAGTCCAAAGTTTTACTAATAATAACAAACAATGAAAGGTGTACTGTTAATTGCTATCTAGCACAGTAGCCACAAAGAATATGGTGGTGGCACATTGTATTTCCCCAAAAAAAACGCTGTGAACATCAATCAGGCTCATTAATAATCAGTTCACATCCCCCATGCAAGAAGGACCGGTCTGGAATTCCCTTTGTGTATCATCTTAGTCTGATAAGCCCTGCACCCCGCTGATGTTAAGAGTTTGAAAAACTCAGTTTGTGTTTTAAACAGTTTTTAATAGCCACACCTTACCAAATATATAATATTATTCTTTTCTGTTGTTTTATGCTCTTTATTTCCTATCATTTTAGATAAAAAAAATACAGCACACAAGAAGACTTTATTGGATATAGGCCCCTCTCATCTCACAAAAATGGCAAAAGGAGACCCCAGGAAGCCCAAGGGCAAGATGTCTTCTTATGCCTACTTCGTTCAGACATGCAGAGAGGAGCACAAGAAGAAAAGCCCTGAGATTCCAGTCAGCTTTTCAGAATTCTCCAAAAGATGCTCTGCAAGATGGAAGGTTAGATTTGAAATGAAATGTTCTAATATTATTATTTGACTCAAATGATTTAAATAAAGCAATGCAGAAGCACTTTCATATTCTCAATGGAAATTTCTCTTGATTTGTTGCGTAGGCAATGTCCGATAAAGAGAAATCCAGGTTTGATGACATGGCCAAACAGGATAAGGTGCGTTATGATCAAGAGATGATGCACTACATGCCTGGTGGCAAGAGAGGCAAAAAGAAGGATCCCAACGCACCCAAGAGACCATCGTGAGTAGACCTGACCCCCATTGAATTACCGTTTTTTTTTTTTTTATCTACATGCAGTTTTTATGAAGGCTGTTTTGTTAATGCTGTATAGCAGACAGGTTTTCAAATGCTATCTCGTCTTATATTTAATTATTTATTATGTACAGGTTTTAACTGATAGATTTTGTAGAGGTTCTGAATGATAGTTATTAATTTTTTTAAATTATTAGAATAAAAATATTCACAACATATCACATTATTGCTTATAAAGCATTATCTTACTAATGGTGATGAATAAATTCATTTTGTCACCTTTTATGATCAACAGCTCTGGATTTTTCCTGTTCTGCTCGGAACATCGTCCACAAATCAAGGCTCAGTATCCCAGCTTGGGCATCGGAGACGTGGCCAAAAAACTAGGCGAGATGTGGAACGGCCTCACAGATGCCACCAAACAGCCCTATCTGATGAAGGCCAACAAGCTGAAGGACAAGTACCAAAAGGCATGTCTCGGTCTAGATGCTTCAGTAGTCCACCATGTAACATATCACAGTTCTAGTATTTTACAATACAACAATATTTCCTTTTTGTGCAGGATGTTGCAGACTACAAGACGAAGGGCAAGGCTGGGGGGGTGTCCATGGGCATGGGAATGATGGGGAATGGTATGGCTCCAAAACCCATGATGAAGAGCAATATGGATGATGAAGAGGATGATGATGAGGAGGAAGACGAAGAAGAGGATGATGATGAATATGATGATGAATAGACTGTCATTTTTGTGTGTTTGATCAATTTTGATTATAATAACTTTTTCTCCCCCATTGAAGTCCAGTAGATACGGAATACACAGGTGGTCTTTCATAGCCCCGTTGTTGTTTTAATAGAGGTGGAATGTGTAGTGTGCTGTTGGTGAGAGACTTGCTAACACAGTTTCTTACTTCCAGCTTTGTGTGCGTGCAAGTGCATGTGCACATGTGAAGATCTCACTTCATCATGGTAGCCCAGTGTCTTCCTAGCCCATCTTTGTTACCTTTTACCAATTGTATAACAAACAGCCTTTAAACAAGTAATACCCTTCCTGTATATGTAAATCCCTGACCTATATATTTTTTGTTTGTTTGTTTAAGAGGTTCCTGAGTGTGTAGCTCTGTATATGGTTGACATTGAGTAGATATTGTTTATGATCGTAGTATGTTGCTTGTGGAAAGGTGTCATAGTTTGGAACTGTGCACCGACATCGGACATTTCATGCTGAAACCATCATTAGTTTCCTCTTCCTTGTCCAGTTTAGGAAAAAAAAAAATGAGTGCAAAAGAGCAGTTGCCACCAGCACGTTAGTTAGACCTGTTGCAGGGGTGTGCACTATATGTTGTTTACTATACTACATGATATATTAGCACATCCACGATCAATGTAGGAAAGATATTTGTATTATCTTTCCTATATATATATTAACTGTTGTGTGATCTAGGAATGCACTATAGAAATACTGATTTGTGTAAAATGCTAATGTCAGGTCAAAATGTTACAGTATGGAGCAGAAACGAACTATTAGAACTCTTGAAATATGGCATAAAAAATACAAAGTTACCATTGTGAAAAAATGAGCCCTGATAATACCTAAACAATGTAAAATGTCAGTACTGGCCAGTGTTGATATATTGTGCATCCCTAGTTTAATACTTATTTTTTTGTTGAATATAAAGTAAGAAACAATGCTGATGATAAGGCTGTACTTATCTGTATCTATGATTTTCATTTTATATGTTTGAGGTTTGCAATTAAATTGAAACATTTTTATTTGTGTTTTGTATGTCTGTATGTAGACCAAGAATATATGAAAGAGAACCCAGCAAGAATGGACCTTGGTGAATGTGTTTAACTAAACAATAGCGTATTGTATGCACAATATTTCTTGAAAAACTTGCAAAAATAAGTAGGAATGATTTTGGCCACCTTCAGCCATAGATCCTTGACTAAAGTCTTTAAGGTTTGAAAGTTATGATAGTGATGGCCCTTGCACCTAGTGATACTGAAATCGCAAAAGCGTTTGAAGCATATATATAATTCTTTCTTCAATATAAGCAATAGTTTTAAATTAAATAAATATGCATCACTTAAATAATAGCCCCATCTGCATCATGGTTCACAAATGTTCTGTGTCTATGCTTAGACAAGGCACTCAAAAGTCCAGTTTGGGGCAACCAGACCCTGTGTAATGAAGTCCTTGTGGTCCACTATGGTCTTTAAATCTTCAAAGGTTAGACTATGAATCCCTGATTTTCAGTTGTTCATTGTAGGAACTCTTAAATTAATCTTATGGCTTATTTTCTAAATATGTCTATGTAAACGCATTATTCATCAACTCTTAATCAACAGCAGCTGTGTTAAGATATATTTTACAGGCATTTTCCTTTGGTGACATTTATATGTGGATGTTGTTTAACTTTACGTCGCTAGATGGCGCAAGGCTATGTTTTATTCATAGACCAAAAGGTTTTATTGAACAAGTTTGCATGAGTTCACGCTTGCGTTACATAATGCCATCATGGGAATTCTTTCGATAATGACATTAGATGGGAGTCATATGCAGTGCTAAGTGAACTCTATATTAGTTTGTCTTGGAGAAAATTAACTATCGTTTCAGTTTATCAGTCCTTCGTAGTCTGTTGCTCTCCTGTTATTAATGTAATTTGCCTCATCGTTATAATGATCTCCTTTCAGAGATAATATTTCAACGGTTGACATTTAGATGAAAATGCAAAAGTCTGCCAAATCCTGGCAATTATATTACAAACACAGTTTCTCCGTAAAACGCTGAACAGATTCTCGGATACGCCATACGTTGTACGTAAATATGTAAACGTTTGATTTTTTTCCTCATACTGTACTAAGCAGCGCACGTTCTTTCTAAACGACATTTCTGATTGGTAGTCCCTAGGGCAAAGTGGGAGGATTTCGTGACCCGCGAGATGACGTCAGACGTTTCTCCACATTTGATTGGCTACTCACGACGCCTATCAAACTCTGAGGCCAAAGCCCAGTTGCTTGCTGTCTAAACTGAAGCGGCAGCGAGCGGAGTGGGGCGACAGGCTTCTGTCTCTGGGCTGCGGAAACTACCCAGCGAAACCAGCGAGAGTGGCAGTGATTGAGGAAAGCAGAACCGCTTTACTCGAAGTCTCGGTTCAGTTAAATACCCGTTACACAGCATCTTCCCCTCACTGAAGGAAAAGGCCTGCGGAGATGGGCGACAAGGCGGGGACCAGGTAAGCGGCAGTTTTCAGCTCAGGTTCAGGACTTCTTAGTTTGAAGTCACGATATCATATTCTCACAGCCCACCCTATGATGAGCAATCCCACCAAACCTCCGAGGCTGGAGGGATGGCGTGGGAAAACCTACTAGTTGATCTGAGTGAGGTTTAATTTGTAGCCTACAGGATATATGCATCGGCACTCGAAGCAAACGCTCTTAAAAACATGATCACTGGACATCTTACGTGTTTCACCCAGGGTGGGGTGAGTGACCAGCACGCTACACCATAAATCTACAGCCCTGCTCTGTTCTTGTACACCCATGCAATTGAAATCTCTTCGGAGTATGCGTAGGAGTGCGGCATTTAGTTGCTTTAACGGCTGCTGTTATCAGCTGCGATCTGATATTATCTTGTTTGTCTGAGGACCCAATTTGTTTTTTTTGTTTGTTTTTTTGATGCTAGACCTATTTATTCGCTACAACAGCAAGCCCTTACTACGACGGGTTATTTTAATGCTGCATGCTGGTATACGAGCAGACAGTTTATTATTTTCCGCCCCGCTGCCTGAAACCTAAAAGTCTCTGTCGCACCCAGTGCGAGAAATTCCTGCTTATCACTGCACGCTCACTTCCTCAACTTTCAGAAAAGGCCTCGACGTTTCCTGTTGCAGAAAAGCACTGGGGTTTGATGTGCCTAAAATCTCATCTGAACACCTCTCCGAGCCTGTCTGTGCAGATTAGGCCCTATAGGCTCAGTGTAGATAGATAGTCGAGTCGTGGGCGACCATGTACGTGCGCTGAGTTTGATGAGTAACCCAGCAGTTCTCTCAGTTGCGCCTTCAGTTCTCCTTACATGTCACGGCTCACACCATCATGAGAGGAAACCCACGGGCCTTCTGCCTCCTGTCTATCTGTAGGCTACATTTTGGGCTTTAACAGAAGGTTGCATTTCGGGTTACCCTGTTTTAATGTTGGATTGACGTATGACACAGTTAGTACATGCACAGTACGCTCATGAGCTCTTTTTCACGTTCACATGTAATGTTAATTTTCTTAACCCCGTAAGCCTGACATTTGAAATAATCTTTTTTTTTTTCTGAGATGGGATGTTTTTTGAATCCTTTTGATTATTTTTTTTAATTTATTTTTTTTTTTTGGGGGGGGGGAAAAAAAAGAAGTAAAAAGTTTGCATAACACATAAAAGCACATTTGGTACATCAGGCTTTTATGGCCCATATATGATATAGTGATAATATGGAGCTCACAGTCAAGGAGGAATAACACGGCCCAAACTGAGCAGAAAATATGCAATTTACTGCAGATGTTGTTATTTATTTGACCAAAGAGTAAGATTTTGGTAGCTTGTAATGTTTAATAGTATAACAGAATACCTGCAAAAATGCATATTAATATTAGTTGTCACTCTATATCTCCCAATAATATGTCTTAAGATCGTATTTAAATGTTTAGTTTTATGTTCAAAGCTCTGTTTTAATTGTGTGGGTAAAAACACAATATAATGCAATACAATGACGATTGAGAGAAGTACAAACAAATGTTCCTCAAAAGCCTGATGTATTGTATTTGATCCATACATTTTAACATGATGTTTTTAAAAAAAATGATGTATGGCTAATCAAGTAAACCTCGGTTGCTTTAGTGCAGTTAATGTTCATCCTAACATTAATATTACTAACAATATAAAAGTTTCTCTAACATTACTTCGTAAAAATCATTAAATATTTCACACATGTACCACAACCTGAAGGTGGACATTTTAGAAATATAAAGGCTTTTTACTTGCTAAAAAGTATGAACTATCAATCAGAGGGCAGAAGGCGTGTAGTAGATTTTCAGCCAAGTTTTGATGTTGGCACTTTATAGGCCTTAAAATATCATACGGTAGGCTTTAAAGGGTTAAAGGTACAGTTCAATGTTGATGTTCAATGTTAATGTTGAACCCTTATGTTCTACCAAACCTGTATGACTTTCTTTCTTTAGTGAAACACAAAGGTGTTGTGCAGAATGAAAGCCTTGGTCACTATTCGCTTTCATTGTATGGAGAAAAGATGCACATGAACGGTTACCGAGGCTGACAGTTCCTAGCATTTTGCCAAATGTCTCCTTTCTGTGTTCCACGGATGAAAGTAGGTCATAGGGGAACGACATGAGGGTAAAGGAAATGATGAAAAAATATAAATTTTTGGAATATCCCTTTAATCTCTGTTTCTCTTCTCAAGGCTTCGTTTTGCCACTGAAATGCAAACTTTTGCTTTGAAAAGAGCTCGAAGGAGAGCAGTGATTGTTGCATGGTTATTGTATTGTAATAAGATTAAATAGCATTGCTTTTGTGCGTGGAGAACAGTTGTTCATCGGCCCACTACAGAGCAAGCCATGCACAGCAAACTTAGCTCGTATTGATTGACACACATTCATAGCGCTGCAAAGCTGTGAAAGAGGCGTTTTATGTAGGTGTCATTGGTCCTTCTGTGCATTCATATCAGCCTTGGGTAAATTAAAGCTTGCTGTCGCTCCATAATTTTTTTATTTATCATACTTGCTATTTATAAACATATTTTGCCACCTAAGACCTCATAGATATGGTCAACAGTATACCCCTGCCTGTTGCTGTTATTGCTAAGCAATTTCTGATTCATCTTCTCTTGTGGTTCACTCACTGGAGTTGATGTGGGGGTGTTGGTGGATCTCGCAGGCTTAGTGATGTGTGGTGTTCTTATGAAAATCCTCTCTGTGTGTGTTAATTTTTTTTTTTTATCCAGTTTGAATTTATGTTCTAGTTCTGTTTGATGTATAACCTACACATTTTCCAGGTTAATAGAACATTTATCAGCAAGAGGCCAATACTATGATATTTTAAACATTTTGCATTGCTTCAAAAAATAACTAACAGTATTGTAACTTTTTTTATATCTTTAATTGATTGCCGTAAACTTGTACATTATAATTATTAATAGTTATCTTATCTTCCTTTCGTCT